TGATGTAGTAGAGAGTGTTGGGAAAATTATGACATATTTAGTTAAACGTTCATTTAAAGCCCAGATGTTCTTCAGGTATAAATCTGAGTGTCCAAAATCTCTAATGAAACAATTGATTTAATCTTTGAAACAAGCTGGGTCACTGGCATTTTTTAGGGAGTAAATTGGTTCCTTTTAGTCAGATTAGATGAACAAAAAGGAGAAATTGGAAGAGAAGTAAAAAATGGACATTTACTCACACCAGAAATTTTTGTTTCCTTTAGCAATAGTTCCATCACTTGAAAAAGTAATTATTTCTAAATAATAACTTTACAAACTGAAACATAATTCATACTACAAATAAATTGGATCAATTAATAGAAATGACTCCAATCAAAAATAAACACAGTTATCAGTATATATTCTATTAAAGAAGCTATGTAAGCTAACAAGAATATATTTAAAAAGCTTTCTTGTAAGAGAAAATTATTATATAAACATCTTTAAAAAAAATATATGTTATTTAATTAGAGAGTCATCTAAGATGTCTGTTTGCGCTGCAAACACTGTCACTGTATTAGTTCCAGTATCCAAACACTGTCACTGTATTAGTTTACAGGAACTAATACAGTGACAGTGTTTACAGTGCAAACAGACATCGTATTAGTTCCAGCAAAGCAAATAATACCTTCAAGCACACTTGCTGAGGTTAACGGAGCACAACAAAGAATATACAGCAAGGAGGAGCCAGAACAACAGTTTGTACCAAAACCCCCATATTTATTTAGTTTTTGTCTTATCAAAAACCCATGCTCCGCAATCAAGGGAATTACTTCACCCATTGTCAGAAAACTAAGGGGGGGCTGTGTCTTGAGTACAATAAACAGACCTCCAATATGTAGACTTTACAATAAAATACACAGGACATTTTTCCATGTAAAATGTACTTACATGAAAGAGAAATTTAATCAGGCAAAGATGAAATTGTTTCGATGTCAAAAAAGAATGAACATTGCAGCATGAAAAAGGGGAGAACACTTTTCTGCAAAACTAAAACTTTTGTAAAAAAAAAACTTTGTAATTTTATTTAACCTGACTGTCTGAAATAAATCTAAAGCATTAACATTTTTGAAAAAATGTTATTTGAGTTAGATTTAAAAATGACAGAGATCTCTTCAAGATCTATGTATATTGCTATCAAATAAACCTGGAGAGACCCAAAAAGAGAAAAGGCTGCAATTAGAAAAAATTGACATAAAGTCATGAAAGTAATCAATTGTTGGAGCTTAGACCCCGAAAGAAGTCATCAGTTATTTGAACAATTCATCAAAAATATTTATTGTTTTAATAACTATTTTTAATTAATTTTTGATAAGCTTTGTTATTCACTAAACGTATTGTTAGAGTGGCTTAGGTTATCCTGAGCTATCTCCACAGTTATGCTGCTATAACCTTAGACTGCTGGAGGACATAGGTACCACATTTTATTATTCTTCCTTCTATTTTATTCTCCCATTCTGTAGTGTTTCTTGGTTCAGCCCCTAACTTAACGATCTCTATGTTTTT